TTTTATTTGTTTCCCTCGTTTATGGAACTACCTCCCAACTATAAATATGAACAAATCACTTACAGTACTTAAAAAGGAACTTAATCAATTTTTTATCTCACATTTTCAAACAAAGTTTGATCCCACAAATCACAACACTTCATGTCATGTGTCCATGTATTGTTTGCTCCAAACTCCCTTCACCCGTACATTTTTGATTCAAACAAGCTCGTAATAGTTTTTTTTCTCTTTTGTTAATTTTGCTTATGTTTATTAATTTATTGTTCTATTTATTTTTCTTGTCTTTTTGTTTGTTTGTTTTTCTGGGGGCTAGACCAGTTCTTGCCTTCCTGCAGGTCAATCTCTTTCATTTGTATCATTTTATTTTGTTTCTCTCTTCTACTGTCTTTGTCCTGTAAAACTTTATTAAATTAAATTAAATTAAATTAAAAATAAATTAAAGGCATGTGATTTCCCTAGCAATTAAAGACACATTTCCTGGAAAACCTGCACAAACAGCATCATTCACTGACTGGCCAGGACTTCAAACCCTATGTTGAGGAGATGCTGCTCCACAAGACAAATCACTTTGTATGAGATTAACAAAGAAACTACACCAAAAATTTCAAAAAATGATAAGTTGAAATCGTCAGATGAGAATAGAGAAGTAGTTGCAAGTCTCAGACTCTATTATAATTTGCAAATGATTAAACATCAATAGTAAGTCAAATATGACAAACATTCCTGTTGTCATTAATAACCCACAAATCTTTTTTTCTTGTTGAGGAAAATGCTCAGTCTGCCATTGCAAAGGAAAACATATCTAGATGCCTCTAAAGCACTCCAGTAAGTATGGTTCAAGAGCATGCATTGTTGTGAGACAATTGATATCATTGCACCTAACATACCTGAGTCAGTTGTTGTAGAAATGGCTTTCAAGAATATATTTGGCCCATTCATGCCACTCCACAAAGTTACTGATAATGATTCCCTGTTAGCATGGATCACTGATCAATGTCTCCAATCAGATAGCCTTGTTATCAAAGGAGATAAATATCCTACTGATGACTATTGTCCCTTTTCATGCAAAATCTAAGCCTGACCTTTTCGTTTGAATAGTAGAAGAGTTGGGTGATTGTAATTGATAGAATGAATGAGTCACAGGATGAAGAAACAGATGAAGACACTAATGAAGAGAGGATGCTGAAGGTACTCCAGGGAATTGCTGGAGAGAGCAAGATGGTGAGTGCAATAAATATGGCATAGATGGCAAAACAAAATACAAATTATGAGCTTACATGTTAGCTGTGGCAGATTTTTTGGCCAAAGCTGCATTGGAGAGTGACTTAATGAAGTGCCTGGCCATTACGGGAGATAAAGACCCATTCACCCCACATCTCTTGCATATGTATGTAGAGGAGCTGAAAAGAGAGGGGCCTGGAATTAAAA